TGGTTGAGCATCCGACTTCGGCTCAGGTCATGATCTCACGGTTCATGGGTTCGAGCCCTGCGTTGGGCTCTGTGCTGACAGCTCAGAGCCTGGAGCCTGCTTCAGATTCTGTGTTTCCCTCTCTCTCTGCCCCTCCCCCACTTGTGCACGCTCTCTCTCTCAAAAATAAATAAACATTAAAAAAATTTTAAAAAGAAAATGGAAAAGAGAGAAGTGGACAAGGACAAGGTCCTTTTTTTGTTTTTATTTTAGGAGATAGGCTCAATAAGACAGTAGTACAGCAAAACAGAAAAGAGAGATATGAATGTGCCACATGTGCAAAACTGAATCTAGGTGGTAATAGTTCAAAAAAATTTTTTTCTTCAAGGTCAGAAGAAAGAGAGGTCACTTGTATCTAGAGGCAAGGCAGGCTACCAGGTTTGGTTGTACAGGTTGTTGGCTGCGTAACTCTGGGAGATGACTTTCACGACGGTATGCAACATGACCTGTGGAGGAGAATCCAGAAAGTTCCGTGGATGATGTGGCATTTGAGATGCAGGCACTCAACAGGCAGAAGAGGTGGGTAGACAGGATTCCAGGTGGAAGGAATCGTGTAAGAGGGTTGCCGGGGGCGGGGGGGGGGGGACCTGCGTGATTACGGTTGTGGGAGGGCTCCCATCGGGCAGGAGTGGAGTAAGGGGCGTGGCAGTAATAAGGAGACAGCTCACAGAAGGACTCATGGGAAGATCACAGGAGGCCTTGAACCCTAAACTGCAACTGTCCCTTATTCTTTTTTTTTTTTTTTAATGTTTTATTTATTTCTAGGAGAGAGAGAGAGAGACAGTGTGAGCAGGGGAGGGTCAGAGAGAGAGGGAGCCACAGACTGAAACAGGCTCCAGGCTCTGAGCTGGCAGTCAGCACNGTGAGCAGGGGAGGGTCAGAGAGAGAGGGAGACACAGACTCAGAAACAGGCTCCAGGCTCTGAGCTGGCAGTCAGCACAGAGCCTGACGCGGGGCCCGAACCCACGAACCGCGAGATCATGACCCAAGCGAAAGTCGGACGCTTAACCGACTAAGCCACCCAGGCGCCCCAATTGTCCCTTATTCTTTAAGCCAGGGGCCAGATCTAGTCTGTGTCCTGTCTGGGTGTGGCCTGTGGACTAAGGGTGGCTTTCACATTTCTGAAGAGTCAAAATCAAACAGAAAAGAAATTGATACAACAGAGGCAGTATATGGGCTGCAAAGCCTAAACTATTAACCGTCTGACTCTTTACAGAAAGAGTCTTGGAAAGTTCTCGGGTGTCTGGCTGCACTTAACCAAGAGGGACCTGGGGTAGGAGATGGTGGATTGGACGCGGGAGGAGAGAGAGGCCAGGGGGCCCGGTAAGAGCTGCTCTAGTCAGCGGGGGGCCCAGAAAGGGCAGCTCGTGCAGGGGAGATGGATAAGCCCTACTAGCCCCCCACGGTGTCACCTCGTCCATGGCTGATACTTTGTCGACTTCTTCAGTGTCAGGGGTTGAAGGAGGACACACCCTGGGCGGAGCTTTGAAGAATCTCAGGGTCAGAAGGGAGCTGAGCCCGCGAATTCCAGTCTGTGACACCCCCTGCCCTTGGTCATAGTGACTTCTAACAATTAGAATGGGCACAAACAGAACGGGTCGCCCTGCAAAATGTTGCCTGAGGTGCTCCAGCAGGGACCCGGCCATATTGCTGACCGCCCAGGGCCAAGCCCCACAGGAAATCCAATGGGCGAGGCAGCCCGTTCCACGTGGGAGACAAAGTTCCAGTGATTAGAGACCCTCAGGATCATTTCGAGCCGCGGTTTGCTCCTGGCTGGCTCTGAGCTTCACCGGCTCTCTTAATTTCGCTTCTATTTCAGTGTTTCCTCCGAGTCTTCTTTTCCACATGAAACAACACAAGCTCTGTCTGCTGTCTGCTGTTTTTCCAAAGGCAAAGGTCTTTTCGCACTTTCTTTTGATGGGGATCTGCCTGTGAAGGGACCCGCAGGCCACTTCCCAGGGCAGGGGGTGCAGGGGCCCCAGCTGCCTGCTTTGTTTGCAGGGAAGGATCTCAGCCTTCCTCGGGGCAGATGGAGAGAAGGCAGATGGCAGCAATCAATCCTCCATTACACAGAACTAACCACCTGCCGGGGACCCCACCCCACCCCGACTGTCCGCGCTGCAGCTCACAGCTGGGGCCGCAGGCCGCCCCCTACACTCTCCCCAAGGCCCCTCAGCAGGAGGTGGGCCCAGAGAGAGTGGGAGAGGGAGATCTGGGCTTGACCTCTCTGAGGTCCATAACTAGCTTGCAACCTTCATCCTGGTTTTCGAATTTACTCTGCCTCCCTCTATTCAGCCTGACGGGAGCAAGAGGGAGAACTCAGGTTGGACAGAAGTGAGTTCAAGTCCACTTTCTGGCTGTGCAACTTTGGGGAAATCACTTAACCTCTCTGAGCTGTTTTTCCCCCCCATCTTTCCAATGAGCTTAATGGTTCCTGAGGATTAAATGTGTGTGTGTGTGTGGGGGGGTCAATTCTTACTACTTCTGGCAGCTATATTCCATAAATTCCACAAAATGTTGAACTGGTAAATACTGAATCATTTCAGTATTTTCCTCAAGGGGAAATACAAGGTTAAGTTCCTTGAGACTTCGGGCCACAGCATTTTTGTCAACTTATCAATACGTAATCTTGTTTAACATATGTTGCTTTCCAAAGGCACCTTATTTGATAGATATTGTAGATTCATAACATTGACCTCATGGCCTACCACGCTGTAACCCAGGTCAGAAAGAAGTGTATCCAACATACATATTTTCTGTGAGGTTCACCCCAAACCCTTGCATTTAGGAACACCAGAGAGCACCTCAACATACACCTGGGAGCCATTTTAAACAGCAAAATCAGGGGCGCCTGGGTGCCTCAGTCGGTTAAGTGTCTGACTTCAGCTCAGATCATGATCTCTCTGCTCGTGAGTTCGAGCCCCGCGTTGGGTTCTGTGCTGACAGCTTAGAGCCTGGAGCCTGCTTTGGATTCTGTGTCTTCCTCTCTCTGCTCCTTCCCCAGCTCACACTCTGTCTCCCTCTCTCAAAAAATAAATAAACATTAAAAAAATATTAAACAGCATAATCACCAATAGAATGTGCAAAATTGCAAAAAATGTGGCGTCAGTAGACCGTGCCAAGGTTGAGGTGTGAGAGCTCGAAACAAGAGGCAGAGTGTCACCCTGAGAACCTGCACCTTGGGTGGCTCGAACTCTCGGCCACTCTGGGCACAGGCAGGTCTGTGAATGACTACACAAGTGCCGTAAGCATTGATTCAGGGGTTTCAAATGAAGTTCCGCAAGCGGGAAACTTGAAAATATGGATCAACGGAACCTACGCCTTCCCTGCTTAGAACCGCAGTCCCAGGTCACACCTGAGGCAGAGGTCAGTGGGGGTGGCAATACCTATTCTCTGTTTCTTCCCTGGCAAATAAAACAACGCTTTAGCTGGTCATGTGACACTCCCTGCCCCTCATTTCCCAGACTCCCTTAAATTAGTTATGACCTGGTGACCAAGTTCAAAGCAGAAGCGTTGTGTGGAACTTCTGGGAAGTGCCTCCCTTAGGAGGCCGTGGTATGTTCTTCCCTTCTTCTGTTCCTCCTTCTTGTTGGCTAGGATGCTCACGTGATGGCTGGAGCTCAAGCAGACATCTTGGACCATGAGGTGGGAGTCAGGTGCTGTGGATGGCAGAGCCACAGTGAGAAGGAGCTGGGATTGTGGAATGGCCTGGAATTGTGGAATGGCCGGACGATGCTCAAGTGCCCGGCCCCCTTATTCGAGAGAGAAACGAGCCACTCTCTTGTTCGAGCTGCTGTCACCTGCTTTCTGTTATTGTCATATACAGCCAAACCCAGTCCCAAACCTAATCCTAAGTGACACAGGAAGGTTGTCATCCTGCCTCACCATTGCCCAGCTCTGTGACTTTACTGTGGTCCCTTCCCCTCTTTGTGCCTCAGGATGTCCACAAAATGGAAGGGGAAGAAAGTAGTAGAAATTAAGCAACGTTCTTGTTCTAAAATTCTCTGATTCTAATGAGTCTGAAATACATGCATTCGTGGGGTAATTTTCCTAAGGTAGGTAGGCATGGAGACACCTCAGCGATGCTGCCCGGTGCCAGTCAGCAACGGAGAAGATGCTTAATGCGTGTTTGATGAACAAATGACCAGAGGACCCTGTGCCAGGAGCGAGTACCAGCCTGTGGTTGGAAAGTCCCTAAGAGGCTTTCCAATTGGTCAGAAGGGTGGCATCCTTGTCATGGCCAAAGGAAGCCACAGTTGCTAATTTTTTAAAAATTAATATTTATTTATTTTTTTTTAATTTTTTTTTTAAATGTTCTTTTTTTTTTTTNTTTATTTCTAGGAGAGAGAGAGAGAGAGCGTGAGCAGGGGAGGGTCAGAGAGAGAGGGAGTCACAGACTGAAACAGGCTCCAGGCTCTGAGCTGGCAGTCAGCACAGAGCCCGACGCGGGGCTCGAACCCACGAACCGCGAGATCATGACCTAAGCAAAAGTCGGATGCTTAACCGACTAAGCCACCCAGGCACCCCAATATTTATTTATTTTTGAAAGACAGTGATAGAGCACAAGCAAGGAGGGGCAAGGAAGAAGGAGACACAGAATCCGAAAGGGGCTCCAGGCTCTGAGCTAGCTGTCAGCACAGAGCCCGATGTGAGCCTGACGCAGGGCTCAAACTCACAGACCATGAGATCATGACCTGAGCCGAAGTCCGGTGCTTCACTGACTGAGCCACCCAGGTGCCCCGCAAATTTTTTTTTATTAATTTTTTTTGAGAGAGAGAAAGAGAGACAGACAGAATGCAAGTGGGGGAGGGGCAGAGAGAGACAGAGACACAGAATCCAAAGCAGGATCCAGACTCTGAGCTGTCAGCAGAGTCTGATGTGGGCAGGGCTCTATTAACTCTTGAACTGTGAGATCATGACCTGAGCCGAAGTCGGATGCTTAACCGACTGAGTCACCCAGGTGCCCTGGGAAGCCACTGTTCTTGCCCAGCCTCAGGAACCATGGGATCAAACACAGCAGGGGTGTAAGTGAATAAACCAGAGGTGAACCAGGCAGAGATGTCCAGAAGAGTGCAGTCTGGGGCACCGGGAGAAATGGACCCTGGGTACGGCCCAGCCAGTGCCCTTACTCCCAGCAGGGGGAGCTCCGTGACCTCCACACCCCCCACCCCCAAAGATGGAATTTCAGGCCAAGGGAAGGGCTTCCTTGCTCAGGTGAGCCTAGACCAGGAGCTGCCTCACCCATAGGCAGATGTCCTCTCTGTTTTAAAAGCTTCAGCTGTAACTTTGAAAGACAATGCTTATCCAAGAGTTTGTGCACACTTTTGGACGAGGTAAGCTGCCTGCTGCCTGTTTCTGGGGAGGACCACGGGGCTGTCAGAAACAGAATTTGAGGGGGATGCCTGGGTGGCTCAGTCGGGTAAGCATCCAACTGGCTCAGGTCATGATCTCATGGTTCATGGGTTCAAGCCCTGCATCGGGCTCTGTGCTGACAGCTAGCTCAGAGCCTGGAGCCTGCTTCAGATTCTGTATCTCCCTCTCTCTCTGACCCTCCCCTGCTCACGCTGTCTCTCTCTCTCTCAGAAATAAATAAAACATTAAAAACTTTTTTAAGTGATTAAAAAAAAAAGAAACAGGGTTTGAGGGTCGCTCTGCCAAGGAGATACAAAAGCATTCCTTATTTTTGTTTGTTTCTCTCTTTTCTTTCCTTCTTTTTTCCAAACATATTTTATTTCTTTTCTAGGACAGGGGCTGTACCCTGCTGCCTCTCTGATTACCCACTGCACTATTTATATTCCTCACCCAGAATCCTAGCGGAAAGGAGGGCAGACTGATGACAAATCGACCCTGAGACTGTGATTGATCCTCTCTGTGTCTGCAACACTGAAGTGGAGTTCTGTTTTCTGAGCCTGCAGGTGCTCAGGGCAACGAGCGTGCTGGCCTGCCCCTGAGCAGGGTCTGCAGTCTGTGAGGTCACTCAGCGTAGCAGAGGGTCCCTGGAATACTGGAGTCTCAAATTTCTCTCTCTCTCTTTTTAAAAAGTTTATTTATTTGCTTATTTATTTTTGAGAGAGAGAGAGAGAGCATGCACAAGCAGGGGAGGGGCGGGGGGGGGGGACAGAGGATCTGAAGTGGGCTCTGCACTATCAGCACAGAGCCCGATGTGGGACTTGAACTCACAAACCATGAGATCATGACCTGAGCCAAAAGCAGACACTTAACCAACTGAGCCACTCAGGTCCCCCAAAAGTTCTCTCTTTCTATAAGTTAAAAACTAAGAGAGGGTTTTCAGACTTAGAGGCAGTTCCACCCATGGAAAAAAACCCAGGCATCTAATATACAGGCAAGAAGGTACTAGAAGAGGTGTGCTGGGGTCCCAAAGCCCAGGCGAGAAGACTTGGAGTTAGCCAGGTAATCGTTCCCAAGGGATCTGGTGTCTGGTGTGTGTTTTTTTTTTTTTTAATGTTTATTTATTTTTTGAGAGAGAGAGAGACAGGGCAGGAGAGGGGGAGAGACAGAGAGAGAGGGAGACACAGAATCCAAAGCAGGCTCCAGGGTCTGAGCTGTCAGCACAGAGCATGATGTGGGACTTGAACCCATGAACCACGAGATTATGACCTGAGCCGAAGTCGTATGCGGGACCGACTGAGCCACGCAGCTGCCCCCAGTGTCTGTTTACCCACTGAAGAAACTGAGGCCCAGAGACACGGAGTGTCCTGCTTAAGATCAAAGGGCGTTCAGGACAACTCATCACCCAAAAGGCATGACCTCTGATACGTGCAACCACGTGGATCAGTGTCCAAATGAATGTGCTGGGGGAAGGGGAAAGCCTACCAACAAAAATTCCTAGGCTCTGGCTGTCAGCAAGCCCTTGTGCTCAACCATAGACCCCAATACTTGAAACCGGGAATAGACGAGGGCACATTCCTCACACTCTAACTGCAGCCCATTGTCCTTATTTCTTATCACACTTTCTTAAAGCATTGACTTTGTTTTGCAATGACCGGAATATTCTAGTTGCAATGCCAGAAAAGCCCTGATAGCAATGGAATGCCTGGAAGACCACTCCCCGCACGCCCCCTTCCCTGCCAATGATCTGTGCCCCTGCCCATGATGACACATTCTCCCCCTGATCTCTTGCACGTACTCCCTTAACCTCTCTCTAGAAAATTCTAAATGTCCCTCTTGCAGGTGGAGAGGTTATCTGTTAAGGCTCGAATCTGCCACCATCCCAGCTGCCTGCACCTGCAATAAATACCTCCCGTTCTCTTTTCCAAGCCCTTGTCTCTTGAGTTACTGGCTTCTTTTGTGATGAGTTTTTCTAGCACTAGTGTTGGCAAAGCCAGCCAGGAGCTGTACCCTCAATTTGTCCAGCCCCTTCGGGACGGCCACGGCAATGCATCAGGGCTTACCTGCTCGTTTCCTGAGTTGGAAGCTGTGACAGATGGATTGGTAACAGTTCCATTTATTACAACTTTAGAAAATGCAAGTTAATCTAAAAGGACAAAGGAGGCCACGGTTGTCTGGGGAAGGGGAGGGGCGGTGAGGGGGAGGAAGGCCATGTTCATGATTTTGATGGCGGTCATGCTTTCATGGGGATAGGTAAGAACTTTTAAAATTATGTTCTTTTTTATTTAAAAAAATTTTTTAACATTTTTTATTTTATATTTGATAGAGAGAGACAGACAGAGCATGAGCAGGGGAGGGGCAGAGAGAGAGGGAGACACAGAATCTGAAGCAGGCTCCAGGCTCTGAGCTGTCAGCACAGAGCCCGATGCAGGGTTCAAACTCACAAGCAGTGAGATCATGACCTAAGCCGAAGTCAGACACTCAACCAACTGAGCCTCTCGGGTGTCCCTCAAATTATATTCTTTAAATGTGCAATTTATTACATGTCAATCCTACTTCAATAAAGCTGTTTACAAAATACTCTTCCATGATCTATCCCCCATCCCTCCAGATCACATTCAGATAGCAGATACAAAATTTGACTCCAGTCTCTTGATACTTAGGGCATTCTGGCCAGGATGACTTTCTCTAAGTCACTTTATATTCATGTGCTATGAAGAATAGCAATTACCACAAAATTTAATGGCTTACAACAGCACAAAACAACACCCATTTATCATCTCCCGGTTTCTGTGGGTGGGGAGTCCATGCGTGGTTTAGCTGGGTCCTGCGCTCAGGGGTCCCACGAGGCTGCAGTTGAAGGGCCGCCAGGGTTGGGGTCTCAGGTGAGGCTCAGGGTCCTACTCCAAGCTCCTGTGATGGAATTCAATTCCCTGCTTCCTCCAGGCCAGAGGGAGAGTCTCTTTCTTCAAGATGCTCATTTAAAGCCACGCCCAGGACAGTTCCCCATGTGATTAACCCAAAGTCAACAGCTGCAACATCCCGTCCCCTTAAAACCTGAAATGTAACCTAAACACAAGGACTGAAATTCCATCATTTTTCGGTCCCACCCATACCCAAAGGGAGGGGAGGGACAGGGTCTGCACACTGGAGGGTGGTGGTGGGGGGGATCTTGGGAGCCATCTGAGAACCCTGCCTCCCTGAATTATCTCTGTCCAGCAACACACAAGTAAACCAGTAGATAAGATGTACACACAGGCTTCAGAGGGAAGCAGCTTGGAGTTGCGATCTGGTTGCACCCTCACCCTCTTGTTTGTTCTCTATTTCCTCCTTGGTTCAGTGTTCTAATGAGCTATTGCATTGAAAAACACCCCCATCGTTTGGGGGGCCCAGTCCCCTCAGCTGGCTTGGAGTAGTCCCTGGAACTCCCATTTTGACAAGACCCGGGGGCCAGGTCAAAGCTGGAACAGCCCTGAAGAAGATCATGTTTCTGGGGAGCAGCGAATATAACTCAAATTCTGAGGAAGCCAGGGCCGTGGCTGGGGTTTTAGAATAAGGAGCCTTGTGTTTGGAGCCAGAGGGAAATAAGATCAAAGAGCTCTGTTTGCGGTCAAACAGGTGGAGAATAAGGAGTCGGGCAGGGGGCTACATGCTGACCTCAATGAAATGTATCTTACCCTGCCCAATTTCCAATGTCGTTGAAATCCACATAACATACAACTACTCTTTTAAAGTGTATAATCCAGGGGCACCTGGGTGGCTCAGTTGGTTAAGTGTCTGACTCTTGATTCCAGCTCAGGTCATGATCTCACAGTTTGTGAGTTTGAGCCCTGCATCAGGCTTTGCACTGACAGCAGAGTCTGCTTGGGATTCTCTGTCTCTCTCTGCCTCTACCTCACTCAAGCTCTCTCTCTCTCTCCAAATAAATAAAATTTTAAAAAAGTGTATAATCCAGTGGCATTTAGTACATTCACAGTCTATGCGACCATCACCTCTTTCAACCCCAGACATTTTCCTCAGCCCCGTACGCATTCTTGGGCTGCTGTTCCACACTGGGATAGGTTGGGAACGAGCCCAAATCAAGGGATGTGGGTCCACCCTCCAGATGGGGAGGGTGAAGTCCACATCATACCTTCGAGTTGGATGCCACCTCAGGGGTTGAAAATGACAGTTTCAACGACCTTTTTGAGTAACTGATTTTAAAAAAGAAATCTGCCAGCCAAAGACTATATAAACCCCTCTTGGGAGGACCATGTTTACTTGGATTTAGAGACTCAGGTCACGAGAAAAGAAAAGGGAGAGAAACAGAGAGGAATTATGAGTCACATTCTTTGTTCAGTCTTTCATCCCAAGATGGTTTGAAGAAGCATCCCTATCACTTACAGGGATTCCGTTAAATTGAGAATATGTGGAGGGAAAGACTGAGATTTCCTTCCCAAAGCCTCACCCAGAGCCTTATGTATGCCTGTCTCGTTTCAGTTAATCTGAGAAAATCCTCCCCTTACACAAGAGAAAATCCCTGGCCCCATATATTAGAGAGCTTGGAAGGTGTGGTTCAGTGTCAGAGCCTGGGTTACGAAGCTGGTGCGGTTCACAGAGATGGCGGCCAGCCTGCCATCGTCCAGACGGGCACCGACCATAAGTGCTCATCGGCGCTTATAGTACCTGTAACGAGTCGCCTGCTCCCTTAGCACCCCCACTGCCAAGAGCATCCTGCCCGCCCTGGACAGGGAAGGACTTTACAATATACATGCGACATCCTGATAATTTCCAGGAACCAGCTACTCAGTCATTTCTGCCTAATTGATGGACAGCCTGGGATCTCTTCCTCCTCCAATTACCTATGCATCACCACCCCCCGCCCCTGCCCCGTTTATTGTTGGGTGACTTGCTATGTAAGCTGGACAGACATCAGAAAGCCTGGAGGTTTAGCAAATGTCAGGATCCTTCCTGCTTTGTGGAATGTTACCTGGTGCCACCACACCCTTGCTCAAGAACTTTCAGTGGCCCCTTAGGGCACAACATGATGGGCCCAAACTCCCCTGTCTGTCTGTCAAGGACTCTATTGGGATGTAAAGTGACTGCTTACAAAGGACCATCATTTGAGGGCTGCTCAATATTCCTACCTCTGGGGTTTCACCCACTCCCCCGTTAGAAGGATGCTCTGGACCCCACTGCTCAACTGGGATGAAAATGCTGTGTCCCTCATTTGGTTTGGTTATGAACCCCTCCTTCAGGGGCAGTGGCTTGCCTCCCCTTCCCCACACCCCCATCCCCCGCCAACATTCCTACTTTCTGCTGATTTCCCAAGCCCCAAGCCTCTCTGTCCCTCCTGGCTCCTAGAATATCCCTAGATCTTTCAGGAGCTTCTGTTGACCGCGGTGGCGACAGAGGGACTCAGAGGAGACAACATCTATTCAGAGATAGTGGTGGAGGGGAGCCTGGGTGGCTCAGTCAGTTTAGCATCTGCGTCTTGGTTTCTGCTCAGGTCAAGATCTCACAGTTTGTGAGTTTGAGCCCCATGTTGGGGTCTGCACTGAGAGCACGGACCCTGTTTGGGATTCTCTCTCCCTTTCTCTCTCTCTCTCTCTCAAAACAAATAAATAAACTTTAAAAAATAAAGATAGTGGTAGAGAGGGGACACAGTTACAAAGCGGGTGGGGTAAAGCAAAATGAATGTGTCCGCAGAGATAGAATTGGAAGTAGTTTTCCTTCCCCTCATTTACAATACAATTAATGGTAATAATAACAATAATTTTTTTTAAAAAAAGAGGAAGTAGGGGCGCCTGGGTGGCTTAGTCGGTTAAGCGTCCGACTTTCGCTTAGGTCATGATCTCGCGGTTCGTGGGTTCGAGCCCCGCGTCGGGCTCTGTGCTGACTGCCAGCTCAGAGCCTGGAGCCTGTTTCAGTCTGTGACTCCCTCTCTCTCTGACCCTCCCCTGCTCACGCTGTCTCTCTCTCTATCTCCTAGAAATAAGTAAAGCATTAAAAATTTAAATAAAAAAAAATAACATATAAACTGTAATTGTTTTAAAAGACAAGTGTTTTGTGTTGTTTTTTTTTAGCACATACTATATACCACGTATTCTGTTTAAATGAAGTTCAGGGTTTTTTTTAACATTTANTGTGCTGACTGCCAGCTCAGAGCCTGGAGCCTGTTTCAGTCTGTGACTCCCTCTCTCTCTGACCCTCCCCTGTTCACGCTGTCTCTGTCTCTCTCTCTCTCCTAGAAAAATAAAAAAAATAAAAAAAATAAAAAAAGAGGAAGTATATTTAGACACTCTGTGCAAATATAACTGGGAAAAATAATGCAAAAGGCTTTTTAAAAGTGTAACGGGGTTTGTGTGGAGTCCAATCCATAGTTCGATGTGTGGCCATGATATTTCAAGGCCCGTGGGGATAGATCTTGAACCAGGGAGTGGGGAGGGGGTGATTTTGCCTACCAGGAGATATTTCTGATTGTCCCAACCGGGAAGGGGGGTTACCGGCATCTGTGGGTGGAGACCAGGCATGCCACTCAGCAGCCTAATGCATAGGATGGCCCCCCTGACAACGAATTGGGTCCAAATGTCAATAGTGCAGAGGCTGAGAAATCTGCCCTTGAACCATGACTTCCATACTCACCTGGTCAACAGGTGATCCTGAGGCATTTTTAAATAAGAAGCATCCCGACCGGGTACAATGAACGGGATTCCAGGAATGGGGCCTCACCAAAGTCTCTAAATCTTCCAGAGGTGATGGTGTCTGCACCCTTGCTTCTCCTTGTTGGACTTGGGGTAGACCGAGCAGAAGGACCTTGGCCCTGATCAGTGGTGGAGTCCGGGGCCAGTTTTCTGCTTCCTAGTACAGGCTATTGTGACTACCTGCAAGTCAGGGGCATGGTCATGCCCTCCCTCCCGCCACTCTCAGAGAACCCAGGTGCACCACT